ATAATTGTATTTTTTTTATTATTCTTGCAATTTAATTGAAATGAATTAATTAAAAATTGTATAAATTCAAGCTAAAACCAAGATTTCTTTTACACAGGTATTTATATTGGGAACCGAAGAGGTGCCCACATTGGTGACACCAAAAACAGATTTTTTCATTGTGGGTCCCTACATATCTTTTGTGTGAGTACAACAATTTTCACAGTCTCTTTCGATTCACTCAAATCTCTTTCAATCAGTCGCTATGTGTCCAAGCGCGACATTGAGAACGATGAGGAGATTCGCCAGACGAGTGTGCATCAGCGCAATTGTCGCTTTCCGGATGAGAATATACTGGATGTGCATCGGTATTATAGCTACAGTGCCTGCACTGTGCAGTGCCGCAAGGATCGGCAAATGGAGTTGTGCAATTGCTCCAGCCACCTGACGCCCAATTCGCCGGATCATGAGCTGTGTAATATGGATGGACTGGAGTGCTTGAACCGCAACTACGAGGATCTGTCGGTCATCATAGCCAAATGGTCGCGACGCCGCGGACGCAAGGGACTCGTCTGTGATTGTCTGCCTTCCTGCACCGAAGTGGACATCACCACCGTGTTTGACAGCAAGGATAATATCTATGGCCATCAGAATCCTGTGTCCAAAATCGAGGTGGCGCTCATTGAGCTGCCCACAGAGCGCTACAAGCGCAACTTGGTGAGAGGCAAACTGGATCTGGTGGGTAAGTGGAAGAGCTGATGGAAGTCGTCTAAATCGTTGCTATATGTATGTATGTGTGCATTGCAGTGTCTATTGGTGGCACAACGGGTCTCTTTGTGGGCGCCAGCTTGTTGAGCTTTGTGGAAATCATATACTATATGACCATACGACCCTACATGAGCTACTCGAATGAAAGGCGACGCCAATTGAGACTCAGCCAGCACAGAGCGCAACAGTGAAACTCATTGCTTCTCAATTTACACCTGCTAACAAAGCTTGTTGAATTCTCATTAAATAATTTAATTCTTGTAATTTTGTTAAAAGCATTTCTTATTTTAAAATGATTATGTATAAATAATTCATATATTTTTAAGTCTACAATAAAATAAATAATTCGAATACAAATAATAAAATAAATAAATAATAAGAATAAATTAAGATTGTAAT